CTTCAGTTTGTGAGATGTGTTTCAGGTTACCTGTAACGTCTCTTCTGCACTAGAAAGCGTTGGGCACGGGGACGATGAGCATCAAGCAGTGAGCTGCCCTCGAGTGGCATTTAACCATCTTTTAGAAGCTGTTGTGGGACTTGGCCTGCCCCTGCTTGTGTTTGACCTGCAGAACGTGTCCTCCCGCCTGCGAGCTGTAGCTTGCGAGTGCTTTTAGGCAAAGTGGCACTGAAAATATTGTTTAATTCATTGCTGGGAGTCAAGCGTGTTGTTGGAGGTAGCGGATCTGCAGCATGTGGTGTGCCTTCGTATGCACAGATTGACTTAGAATAAGTGGGGGGAATAGGGAGTTTGCTGTTTCTTTTGGCAAATACGTTTGTTGGTGGTGAACTGCTGCAATGAATTGTGTTTTACTTAATGGAGAATACCTGGAAATAAGATAGGCAGTTTAGGCATCACGTTGTCGACTTAAATCCTAAATATAAAAGTATGTTACCATCCATCTTGCTAAATCTGGTAACTGCTAATGGCCCTGTAAAGACCATCTGGTGCTATGGGCAGTGTATTTCTTGATCATCTTAATTCTGAAAACTTTAAACTTCTTGTCTCCTGGGTTATGCCAGAGTCTGTTATCCTCATACCAGGTATTGTTGTAGTTGTCGTTGTGCTTGTTGAGTCAGAATAATTGGTTTAGACCGTGTGGTAAGGGAAAACCAAATCTGAACTGCATTTTGTTAGTGCGGTTCTATAGACTGGCTTTGAAACTTAGCTGCAGACACGCTGCATATGTGAAGCAGTCTTTCAGTAAAGAATAGTAACCGTACTTATGCGTCCCTTCTTGGGTTTAAGAACACACTCGCCTAAGACTGCTCCTGGGTCTTCAACGTTTGGTTTTGGTGCTGATAGGTGTCTATCTCAAAGTGTAGCACAAAACGTGCGCTCAGATCTACAGCACCACCACTGATCTCTGCTGAGGATTAGCGACAGCCTAAAGTAGTGCTTTTTACCAAGAAGGAAGGTGTCTTGTGCTTTGCACCCTCTCTTGAAATGTTGTCGGCTGAAGGTGTGGACCAAGCTTGAGATAAGGCCGTTCAGCGCCACAAGGATTTAACCTAGCGAGTTAGACACTGATTTAGCTGTCAGAGCATCTACTGGCCTTTTGCACTCGGGTGGAAATGGTAACAGTGGGCTGTGTCTTCATGGGAGAAATCATCAAGCAGCGCTGAAATGTAAAGCAGCAGCAGAATTTCCCTGGGAGGTTCCTTCTCAAGCTAGCTACGGTAAGGAAAAGGAGGCTCGCTTTGGCATGGGGAAGCATAATCCCTTCTTCACGATTTTTAGAAATAAATTTGCACTAGTCCAGTTGCTTTCAATGAAGTGGTTGGTTTTTCCACTGTCGCGTAATTAATGACATTCCTGTAACATACTGTTCATATTAAGTCGTAAGCTTTATTGTCTTTTTCTTCTAACTGAAAAACTCTGCTGTCCTGCATCCAAACCGAACGCACTCCCTAGACAGCAAGAGCTTGGTTAGCCCGCAGGCAGCCTGAGCCCGCGCTGCTGCACAAGAGAGGGGATCACGTCGGGGTTGGCACCAGCGCCTGTGTAAGCACACGGTGAGCTGGCCCCGGGGCTGCCCCCAAAATACATCACAGCCCACAGGTGAATGTTTGTCTGGGTCGGTTTGATACAACCCGCATGGTGTGCGCACACTCAATCAAAAGGAGGGAGAGGTCTCGTTTCTTCCTTCTCGTGTGCTGGCTGCTTGATCTTGCTCTCCCTCCTGGGCCGTTTGCGTTGCACCACGCCAGCTGAATTCATTAGTCCAGCAGGGAAACCCGTGCGTTTTGCCAGCTTAACGAATGCAGCCAGCAGGGAGGGCAGCCTGCTGTGCGCCAGAGCTGGCACAAGGTAACCGTGGGGGATGGAGAGAGCCTGGAAGCCCTTTTTGGTGGTGGGAAGCGCTTCCTCCGATCCGCTGCCGCTCGCTGAACTTCACCCTCAGGTGCAGGCTTTCTTTTTGAGGATTTACTGATTCGTATGCTTTAAGACCTGAGACTCCTGAAATTGGAGGAGAAAATGAAAATACAAGAATCAGAGTTCAGCTGGAGGTAAAAAGTTGATGCTGATAGAGGTGTGCATCTAATGAATTAGCTCTTTTATCGGGTTGTGCTTTTTGCATCTCTGAAGAATTTGTGTTAGTGTGTTGCCTTTCTGGATAATTGTTTTAGTCCGTCCTTTGTCAGAGAGTGGGATTTACTTAAGTCTCTCATACTGACATCAGCTCTGTTACAAAAATAGACGGTTTCCAGTAAGGCATCGTTGCCAAGTCTTCCTGCCAATACTTTTGCCCCCATTGCTGTGTGAGAGACCCCTGGCAAGCTGGGAGAACTGTCCTATTCCTTAAGTATTTTTTGCCAAGAAATAGCCCGCTTTTAAGTTCGGAAGTTAAACTGTAACATTATTTTTTCCCTTTATATAAACCGTTTAAAGAAATGGTGTTTCAAAGTAGTAAACTAGGACACCTGGTGTCTTACTGGTATTTCCCCCTCTGTATCTTTTGTTTCGGGATGCCTCTGAAGGCAGCTTGCCTCTGGTAACTGTAGCTACTGTTGCTTGGTGTGTGTAGACCTTGCCAGAGAGGTATGTAGCAGGGCTGCGGGCTCTTGGGATGCGCAGCATTTGAGGAGCTGCTGTAAATCCCTATTAGTAAGCTATTGGGCCTTTTCAGGGGGTATTTTTTGGTGTGCTGTGTTGTTCTCCTTTCCTGCTGCTATTTTAGGACGAGAATAGCGTGCGAGTGCGTTTCAGACGAGCAGGCAACTGTTGAGACTGACGGCAGCTCTCAGGCTGCTGAAATCAGTGGGCTAATGCTGAGTCTGCTGAAGGACGGGAGCACAGTCACCGGCTGAAGCGCTGCTCCATGCGGCTGGGGTGAAAACTGCCTGTCCTGTGGCAATGGGGAGCCCCCAGAGCAGCTCCCTCCTCTGAAAGCAGGGGGCTTGTGCAGCAGCCTGTTGGGTGTTAAACCCTAGAGGGATTAATGATGGCAGTAGGGAACCTGGGATGTGGTGCTTTATTTCTGGGTCTGTAGCTGTGACGGGCAGGTGGGAGACACCATTGGGAAGTCCTCAATTTCTTGAACCTTGTCGTGAGTGGGCACGTGTGCAGGGTGTGTTTTACTTCTGGGGGGAGCGTTTGTTTCTTTTTTTGGCAATCTCGATGTTAGATGGCAGGCTCTGGCTCATTCACAGCGCCTGCCTTGTTCTTTGCGGTCATTAAATCGACCTTTTTGCTGTGCAGCAGGAAATTGGAGGTATGTTTCAGCATATTTTACTTTTCCTTGCTTTGGCATTGACAAAGCTTCTTGTCTTTACGCCATGCACGGGTCGGATGGAGCAGGCCTGTCAGACTTCCCACTTGTGGCTTCTGAAAGGGCTGGAGAATTATTCGGGTTCAGTTCTTTCTTCCAATGCCACTGATGCGGGAGCAGCAGCCAGGCTGCCATATGCAAGAAAGGGTCAAAGCAGTCTGGCTTTAGGTTTGGATGGTAAACGTCATCTTGGTTAATTATTCGTCTAGCTAGGCTCTGTAGTTACTCATTTAGGTTATTCAAGGTGACGGGGTGTTTGCTCTTCTGAGTGCCTGTGACTTGTTCCGTCTTTGAGTCTCGGGCCGCTTTCTGTACGGGGAGGATTTGCACAGCAACAGAATCCTGCAGGCCTATTCTAATGTCTGTTTTTGCAAACTTGGACCATGTGAGTTCCTGATAGGTTTCCATTCATCGGAGAGGAATATTGGCCCCAATAAAAGGGGAACGTGGAAATGAGGGGCAGGGGAGGGGAAGGGGCTGCCTCCGCTGGTACCGCGTTGTCGGACTGTGTGTCAGCTATGGCATTACGTGCGTTTAATGGTTTTTGTAGGGAAGCTGAGGCGTAGGATTTTTGGAGAAGAATAGCAACATCCAGAGCATTTTGTACCTGTGTGCGTTTTAAGGTCTTAACCGTGATGGCTGGGTTTATTTGGTGGTGTCCTGCGTGGTTTTACATGTCTTGGGGGTATTTATTCTGTCTTCGTGCAAGTACACGATGAAATTACAGATCACTAGGAAAATGTCAAAACGTGAATTAAGATGTCTTTCTGGAGAAAAGGGCTTTGTGTTTTCGGTCTTCCTTTCTTCCTCTTCCCATGCCTCTCTCTAACCCCAGATTCATGGCTGTCTGGTTGTCTTATTTTTCCGCAGTTTGCGTTATCATGTATGGAAAACCTAAATGATTCAGGCTTTTGTTTTGGCTACGGCTAATTTGTTTTAAGAGTTGAATACAGCACAGTTCTTGTTTGAGAATGATTAGACTGTAATTCTGCATGTTCAAACTACATTACAGTTTTCGACGCCCAAATAGTAGTTTAGACTAGACAATCGTGTTGCCTGACACCAGAGAAGCAGGCGAGCAGGGCTGTTGGTGCAGACCCAGCCAGACCCGTGCGTTAGCAACTGATGAACAGATTTTTGCTCAACTTGATCACCTCCTGCCACTTGTCATTGCGTTGGGGTTGCTGAGTTAGCTTTCGTGTTTGCTCGCACCAGGGAGGCGAGCAGCCCGTCGTGTGGCTGTAGGCAGGTTTAGTTGGTTTTCACGTGAGAGCGCGAAGAGGAAGAGTCCTGGAACAAGTCTGTAGGTCAGGAGGTATTTAGGCACAGAGTTTCCTGATGCCCTTGCGAATTGACAACCTGCAGGTGAATTTTGGCAGAAGTTTCAAAATTTTGAACTTTGCCAAGGTCACTTGGAAGTGCAGAAACCGGTAAGTAGTCGTAAATCAATGTCAGCTGAATTTGAGGTGTACCAGAAGTATAGCGGTCCTATGCTAAGGATCAACCTTGTCGTCGTCTTCTGAGTATGTGCTATATAATATCTGTCTTCAGGGTCCGTGGAAAGTTGTATCCCAGCATATGCCGTTGACTGTGTTTCTGTAATTAAACGAGTGTTTTTTCTTTCAAGCAGGGAATAATTAGCAGAGTGACAGAAATGGTGAAAAGTATTGTACCGGCGTGGCTGCAGAAGTATTTCAATAAGCGTGAGAATGAGTGTGCAGCTGCAAATAAATCTGCAAACCAGGCGGCGACTCCAGTAAACCAGCATCATAATTACGCAGATGGAGGTACCCTAAATGATGGGAGATACATGCCTGAACGAGCGACACTTAATAGACAAGGTACGTGAAAAATCATTCGGAATTCTGGCCACCTGTATTTATTCACAGATTTCTAGTTTTGAATCCGAATATCAAAAGGAAATTGGAAGGAGGGTTTTGACAGAATGAAAAAACAAACAAGAAAGTCGAAACAACTGTTTGTGAAACTGTCTTAGCTTTAAACTGTCCGCACAATTACGAAGCATACCTCTTATGCTCTTGGAAGGCATCAGTCAACTTTACGTACTCTATTAGCCAGGTGCTAAATGCTGGAAAGAACTCATTTGCAAGTGTGGGTTGCATTTTCCATATTTTACAAGAAACGGAATGAAAATCTAATTGCGTAAGGCAATTAAAAATGAATTTGCTTTGCAGTCTTCAAAACAAAATAATAGATGCTAGAGTGGCACAGGAAAATTCCATCTCGAGTCCTGACTTTTTTTTTTGGTTTTGTTTTGGGCTTTGATCAATTTAGTCAAGTTCCTTGTTAACTTAATGGAGAACTAGGGAACTTGTGCATGGATGTGGTTTATGACATTATTATCCTTAAAATATTCAATAACCTTAAGGTCTACGCAGGGGGAAGGGGTGTCTTTGAAAAGGTATTGGGAGCGTTGGCAACGAGGTTTGTAACCCCTTTACTGCATGAAAGATGAATTTGTCTTATATCCGATGCCTCTCACTGCTACTGTAGTCTTATTGTATAAATCCGCACATACTCTTACTGGAGTTTCTCTTAAATTAGCTGTTTTGGGGACCTCAGCTTTTAATAAGTAAAGAAGTTTGGTCTGAGTGTGCGTAGATAACCCTAGGTAAACTGGAAAGTCAGTTGCTTCTGTTGTTGGCAGAATCAAAAAATAATGCGGAAATAGCTTTGCCTCCAATCTCATCTAATTGTAAACAAGGAGATTGATTGCTTTCTGTGTAGCTGTAGCTTGGGAATAAGTTTGGAGAAAAGAATAGAGAAGGTCTTCATGACTGAGGAACACATGTTGGCTTTTCTATGTAACTGTGTGAAAGGAGCTTTCAGTAAGAACAGCTGCACTGCAAGCTTACTAACTCCAGGAGATCAGGAGCAGGTGGACATCCTAGAACCTTTTGTAGCTTATGTAGCTGTCTGTGGGTGTTACTTGCTCTGCTTAAGAATAAGATATTTTTTAAAAATTATTACTTCATTTTTAAACAAATGTGTTTCTTCAGCTCTGAGGTATCAATGTGCTGGAGCCTATATTCCTTGCTTAGGTGGCCTTCAGCCCGAATAACTTTGTGTATCTCAAACGGTACTGTTCTAAAAATCTGCTCATGGTTTGGAGAACTAATTAGTGGTACTGCAGTGGTTATGAAGATTGAACTAACTAGTTTAAGCTTGAGTGCGAGCATCAAGAGGATAGTGGCGCAAAGTCATTTTAATTGCCCAGATTCCCGGGGGAGACTGTAGGCTTTTATCAGGCCACTGGCATTGTTTGCAGACCCTTTGCTTCAAGAGGGAAAAATGCTCATCTGGTTACTTGGGTCAACGTACTTTTCCCTTGGGTCAAAATCCCAGTAGTTAACGGGTAGGAGGTAGTGTTTTGCCTCTAAGATGAGCTGATCTGGTAGAACTTGGGAAAAAAAGTACTGCAAGTGTTCATTTTCATGCTGTGTATTTAGATTAATGACCTTTGTTCCACCATTATATAAGCTGCAGTGTTATCTGTGCCTTAGCATGTAATCTCAAATTTTGTAAAGCTTCTTGCAAGCTGTACATGCGAGGAGGAGTATTTGTGTTTGACTTGGTGAAAGGCCAAGTCAGTGTTAGAGCATTTGAACACGGGGTCGGAATCTGGTGTTGTGAAACCTCACAGTTAACTTCTTCTGAATGCAACATTAATACTCAGTATTGCAAGCAGTGTTGTTGTTGTAGCCAGACAGTTAGATGAAACCGTATCTGGGTGAGGAAGAAGTTAAATTTGGCTTCTCTATTTTTGCGCTTAGAACTTGGCAATAGCATGGCTGTTGATAGGAAACAGGTTTTGGCTTCTGTGAGCTTGTCTATAGCAAAGCTAATTATCTCCCTGTTCTTGTCTAGAACCATCCACAAGTAGCTCAGCACTGAACTACCCAGTTGCCTTAACAAGGCCCGCTCTTCATCGGAGCCATTTGAATTATACCATGTCGGATTCTTCTGTCCCACCTTCTCAGCCCACGACATCTTCAATATTTGGCATTGGCAGTCCTGGACTCTCTTTCATAAAAGAAATCAAAGATTCTACCTCTCAACAAGACAATGACAACATGTCAAGAACCGGTGGCTTCTCCTCTAGAGCATCTGACAAAGGTGATTTTTCTGTTCTCTGTTTAGTTGACTTTTTTTTAATGTGAAGTACTTTGTGTTTGAAAAGGGTTGAAAGGGCAAACAGCAGGTTTGCAGCTTTTTCTAGTCCCCCAGATAGACAGGGACTGAAGTGTCCTCAGCAGGTTTTTCAGAGAACTTGTGTATGGTTGAGAGTAGAGTTGCTGGGCTTTAGCAGTGTAACCTGAGTGCACTACAACTTTCTGGTGTGTCGTCGTAAAACATATGTGGGAAGAAGATCGTTAACTCTTAGAGCAGCCTTCTAGGAATCTTCCAGGTGTAAAACCTGTGCAATTATGATCTGTGCTGGCCTCCAGCCTTTCACCAACATAGAAAAAGCTTTGTCTGTACAAATGCACTGATGTTTATGCAGTTCTCTTTGCTTTTAGCACAAAAGGAAAAAAAAAATCTTCTGCACTGGAAGCACAGTATTAACTTGTTAAGATTGCTGAAACTACTTGCAGCTCAGTGAACAGTTTTCAAGTTTGTAGCTGTTACTTGATTTTCAGTCTGTACACGAAGCTGTTTAAAGAAGCTGAAGCCACGTTTATTTTTCCGTGTTGAAGAACTTGAATTAGTGCGGTCTTTACTGTTAAAGTTCTGTATGTACTAGAGACGTTTACATTTAACATATATGTCACTTTGGCAGATGTTGGAGTTCTAAAAAATACTTCTTCATCACTGCTCTGGACCACAGAAGCTGATAGAACTCATTCCCTCTCGCAGCATTCTGCAGCTAGCTCTAAGAAACCTGCATTCAGTTTATCTGCTTTTGGAGGAATTTGTGCTGTAAGTACTGCACAGTCTTTCTTTTAATCACTTTGAATGTGTAGCTGGTTTTCTGTCCACTTAACGTACTGTGTTTCTGTAGGCACGCGGAAGCACATCTGACTGTAAGAAAAACCAGCCTGGGTATTCTCCATTTTACCCTGGAAAGACGGCCTATGGTGGTGCAGCTGGAAAATCAAAGCCGTCGATGATAGAACCTTATCGGGTATGAGAAAAGTAGGGTAATGGGAAATAGTGATGGAAATAAAAAGCAGCACTGCCAAAGGAGCTTTGAGCAGGGAGCTGAATATGTGGTACCAGTTGCTCTTCTGCCCTCTTGGTCTACAAAAAAGAGATTGATTTCGGGTTAAGTTCTTTTTTTAGCAGTTTTTACCACAGGTAATACTTGCCAGAAAGAGCAAGAATGACAGTTTAGGCTAGTTGTTGGTAGTTGGGGTTTCCTCTGTTGTTACTTCTTTCAAGAAGTTCCATTTGAGTGCCATTGTCTGCCTCTGACTACATTGCATGGTGTTATTTTAATGTAAATAAAAACAATGGCAGCATAACTTTGAAAAGTTGTGTTTATAGTAGCAAAAGCTACAGTAGTCAAACCTGGCCAATGTTTATGTGTGGATCT